GATCACAAAATTAAGAAGGAATGGGGAGAGTTGGTATCCTTCTCTTACACCACTTTGTGTAGGGAATCTTTCGAAGAGCTTCCAGCATATTCTTACATGCTCAGATGCCTCAGTAATTGGGGCGCGAATTTACTGTCCTGAAGGTCCGTGGTTCAAACTCGACCGCTCCTGTCTCGGCTTGGATAACCTGGCCTTATCTCATTCCCCGTGCTTCTTTCGGGTGGCATGGTAGCTAGAAGGAGTGTTATAGCTGAATTATTATTATTATCGGTAGTAGCAGTCGTATTCATTTTCACACCCCCAAAAGCCTAAGAATATAAAGAACTTCCGGGGCATCCCTTGCTGAGCAGGCGTGTTAAAGAGAGCAGAGTCATGTGTGCCATAAGAATCCAGCAGTACTGAAACCATGGATCGCTTATACTCAAGTCCGTTCTCCTGTAACAGGGTGTGTACCACTTCTAGTGAACACTAGGAGTGTTATGGCTGAATTATTATTATTATCGGTAGTAGCAGTCGTATTCATTTTCACACCCCCAAAAGCCTAAGAATATAAAGAACTTCCGGGGCATCCCTTGCTGAGCAGGCGTGTTAAAGAGAGCAGAGTCATGTGTGCCATAAGAATCCAGCAGTACTGAAACCATGGATCGCTTATACTCAAGTCCGTTCTCCTGTAACAGGGTGTGTACCACTTCTAGTGAACACTGTCGGTGTATGTTCAAGATATATCCACATTGAAATGGGACATTTCATCATCGTCATCATAATCGACAGCATAACATAGTTGTTCGAGTACTGAATTTTTCCCGCCGTACATGGGACATTTGTCTGGGCAGTTCGGCAAAGCATTTCCTTTAGCCTGCACAACTAGCCTTAACACAATCTACTTGGCCTCAGGACGACCTCGGACCCAATGGCCAGTGATGCCAGCTGGTTTAGGATATGGGCTCAAAGAGAGAGTCGGAGTAGTGCCGCAGAACTTAAGAACGATCTCACAAATAGCTGATTTTATCTAAAATGCAGAAGTGCGTTAGTCAGGGCTAAAAGAGGAGCCGAGCCGTCTGTGAAGGTAGGTAAAACCCATCATTCAGGGATACTCCTCTCATGGCATCTTGTGTGCATCTTCATGGAGGAAGTTAGAGTCAGTTCTAATCGCCAACTGCTCATAGGGATTCAACATTCTCATAAACGGTATATTTCGGTCTGTAAAACACTGATGACAATGGTTTATGAAAAATGTTTTGGCGCTTACCTCTGTTTTGCTTGTTTTGTTTATACTTCTGTGCTCTAATCCTCAACCTATGCCCCACTTTCAACACTGTAGCATGCGGGTCAAAAAACCTCCGTTGATATTGGCCCTCCATTTGAAGAGATTCAAATACTCTGAAGAGGTCAATAGCTTCACAAAACTCTCCTGTCGTGTGGTATTTCCCACAGAACTACGGCTCCCAAATACGGTAAGTGACTGGATCAATAGTTTGGTAAAATCATATTTCCATTTCATTTATCTGATTCGATTTCATTACTATCTTCTAGATTTCGCGTTTCGCAATCACGCTTCCGGTGTATTTTCCTATTTTTGCCGATGAAAGTTGACCTTGTCAGCCGTGACGTAGCTTGGTAGGATAGACAGACTGGGTTAGATCACCACTATCGGTAACATTTTTGTGGGGACGGGTGCGGAATAGTGGTTTACGTATACATTTCGCCTCTTTGTTTTGTCATTTATCGATCAGCCGTAGCCTGTTAATAATTACACGTTGGAAACTGACGAATATTTGGGAATGTCTGTACGTTCGTCTCATGTTTTGTTAAACTACCGAGCCTCTCTTAACGTTTTAGAATCCCTATGGTACATTTATCAAAAGTGCATCGTAGGGCCTGTCAGTTCTGATTACTGTACCCACCATCCATTTTTTTTAAACTCGAGTACTGCCGAAGCATAATACCGCGCTGCGTGTTCATCCTCTCTGTGTGTGGTGCTTGTTCTGAGGAGCCTGTACATAGTAAGCACTAAATCTCGGAGCATTTTCCAATGGGATGCGAAATAATGTTTCCACTTGAGAACATGGGGCGAGATGGTGCAAGTGGTTAGAGCGCGAATTTACTGACCGGAAGGCCCGTGATTCGAACCCGACCTCTGCCTCTTGACTTCTCCTGTCTAGGCTTGGGCAACGTGACAGTATTCCAGTCCCCATGTTTCCTTGGGGTAGCATGGCAGCTAGGCACCGAAAAGGTGAACGATTTTTTACATGGTAAACGAGAGACTAAGCTGGGTCCCGTCAAAACCAAATTGATGTGCGAATGAGTGTATTTGTCTAAATGTCTCCACTAACTGTCATAAGTTTTTTTATTATGACGGGAATGCACGGTGCGTAGACGGTCACAAATTCCCATATTTCCCTCCGGAACATTTCCAGAAGATCCACTGTCCGCCTAGCTTCTTTAAGGAGGCCTTTTTTGTAGTAAAGAGGAGAGGGGGCATCGGTTGTCTACCCCGTCGACTTGTGGACTCGAAAATTTGAGACCATAATTTCTGCTTTGGTTTAATAATGGTAATCGTTTTATAACAGTACTACTTAATTACGACTGGCAGACCTGTGGCCGGCATGTGCTCTGGGTATTCTGAACAAAACTACCCTCTACCACGGAACGTACAAGCGCTATGGGTAGCGACTGGCTACCGAATCGCTGAGAGTTATACATCCAGCCCACTGCCTTGTCGATCATTCCTTTCAAAATAGCATGTAGTTCCTGTAAGTTAGTCTCTTTATCAACGTAAGAAACCTGAAAGTGTTGTGCGGACACAGATTTTTCGGACCTTCGAATTGTAGCTATAACGATCTCAGTTCACATTTTAGCGGTGTAAATGAGACACTAGAACAATTACTCTCCTGACGCCTCACTCATCAATTGCTTAAGTGAAGCACCGTAACGAGTGATTTGTAGCAGTTCCACATGAGTTCCACATGTAGCCCTAGCTTCACTGGTCCTTGAATGCAGTTCAGGCTCATTTACATTGTTCCAACTAATATTATCGTTAATTTTTTGGAGGTCATTGTCACATAAAAAGTAAATACAAGTGATAGATAAGGGGTGGGTTGCAGGCGAAATATCAGATAAAACGGGAGAAGCGTACCACCAACAGTTTCAGTCAGACGAGATGAATCCCAACGTATGCAAGAATATTTGGCATGGAAACACGTGTGTAAAGACCAGCAACCGAAGAAATGACAAACAATCCCAAATGCTCTTCGAGGTGCGGTAAGCATTAATACAGTCAGGACTCGCACAGCAGGCACCATCACTACCACTTCCAGCCAATACTACTCGACAGTGGATACCCAGATAGGTGTATTAAGCAGTACAACAACGAATGTCCGCTGCAGCAGATGATAGAACTTGAAAAATTTGGTATTTTAACTGTTCTAGGGCAATAGCTTGACTAATGATGTGCCCGGGGGTGTGAACCAACTGACCAGAAGGGTCGTGGTTCGAACCCGATCTCAGCATCTCTACCGCTCCTCTCTAGGCTTGGGCACCCTGGCAGTTTCTTAGCCTTCTTGCTTCCTTTGCCTGGCATAGCAGCTAGGCACCGGAAAGGCGTTACAGCTGAACGATTATCACTTATTATTATTATTATTATTATTATTATTATTATTATTATTATTATTATTATTATTATTATTATTATTATTATTATTATTATTATTATTATTATTATTATTATTATTATTATTATTATTATTATTATTATTATTATTATTATTATTATTATTATTATTATTATTATTATTATTATTATTATTATTATTATTATTATTATTATTATTATTATTATTATTATTATTATTATTATTATTATTATTATTATTATTATTATTATTATTATTATTATTATTATTATTATTATTATTATTATTATTATTATTATTATTATTATTATTATTATTATTATTATTATTATTATTATTATTATTATTATTATTATTATTATTATTATTATTATTATTATTATTATTATTATTATTATTATTATTATTATTATTATTATTATTATTATTATTATTATTATTATTATTATTATTATTATTATTATTATTATTATTATTATTATTATTATTATTATTATTATCAAAAGGGTGTTACGGCTGTGAACGATCATTTAATTTGATTTAGGGGCCAAGTACTGTCCTACAACTAGCGTGTGCGGCTTCTTAACTGTACCCTACCAATGACTCGGACAGCACTATAGGCAAAGCGAACAGGTAGACTAATGGACTGGTCACACACACACACACACTCTCGAGTTTCGCTTGGAAATTCAGTCGCAGCAGAACAGAACGTTGTATGCGGCCCTGAACAAATTGGCTAGGGCTACTTAATTGTACCAATCGGAGTTTACCACACCGACCGGTGTTTTATCACCACAACAGTAAAGCAACTGAATTACTTCTACAGATCACCGTACTTGCAGCTGTTTAGCCCATGTAGCATGTTCACTGCAACATGTGTCACAAACCTTGTGTGAATGGGTCACGTGAATTTATGGTACAGATCACAAGATTTGCACTTCGGATTTCATGATGTGGGAAACATCCAAGCAGCCATTGTGCAGGTACTCAAGGCGTTCATAAAAACGCTTTTTTGTGGGGACCTTGCTATCAATTTTTGGTTTGTGTTGCCTTTGTCTTCATGTCAAGGGAAACACAGCGACCAAGTGACTATTAAGGTGTATAAGCCTCGACCCTTGGTTGCCGTCATACTGACGGGCCCTGTACCGCTTCAGCGATCAACGTTTCTCAGGAACCAGAGTTACACTCGACTGTTTATAGTGGATGGACACCCACATTTCTCAACATCAGGTCATCTATCACCAGCCAATTTTTCTGCGGTTTTCTGGTTTGCTGAACAAGCTAGCCTCTGTACAGCATATGGCGAACGATTCATCCAACACTTACCCTCCGCTTACGTAAGCAAACTCATGCAAACGTTCCTGCTTGGAATTTTCGGGCGTCTTGTGTGAGTGTGTTAATTTATCGCAGTGAATATGCCCATTTTGCACCAGACCACTTTGACATGGAACCATTTAGCATACAACAATCCAGCACCTCACCGTCGCACAGTAATGTTACCCATAATTAGCTTTGTAAGTCTTAAGGCTATCCAGTTGCCTAAAAGCTTGAGTAACATGCATTGCCTCACCTAAATGACCAGTTAATTGATAGGATCTACAGATAGCGTGGCATATCACTTGGAATCGCAGGCCACATGCAATAATGAAGGAGTCAACACACTATCCGATTACAATGGTCTGCAAATAGATGCCACTCCTTTGGAAATCCCGAAACAGTTACGACTTGATACATAGTCTCTCAAAAGAGGCTGAAGATCCTCTTCCTCCCAATTACCCCTCTCGAAAGGTAGAATCATGACTGGCGACAGGTGAAAAATCAGTCAGTTTGATGAACGTGAATGGGATTATGAGGACTAAAATGTGTTTCCTTGTCCTGCATTATTTCTTCAAGTTCTGTATGGTGCCGCAAACACAAACCTGAACCATCTTCAGGTCAGTTAATTGGTGTTGGTACTTCTTCAAGAGTTGAAATTTTTCTGAATACCTGCAGATGAACAGGTCAAATATTTTAAGTGATAGGAGTCGGATTTGGTCAGGTACGTCGTCACATCCCTGACCGTTTCACCTTCAAGAAGGGTTAAGCGAAGTCAAGTTGCCACACAAGAGGTAAGAACCCGTGTATGTTTATGGAACCCGTGCAGTAATTCTTAGGTGAAAGGCCACTTACATAATGTAGGCGTTCACTGCATTTCGATGAGGAACTGTCGTCCACTTTACAGTTTTTCGCTCAGCACTGTGAGGTCAGACAAATACATCGTTGCAAACCACAAAGACCTTAATTGGCCGCCTCAATGGCTGCCATCTTCCGGGCGCGATGACCCCAGAAGGACGGCCTTATGGTTCATGGTGGTCCTGTTTAAAAGCTATCGTTATTCGCAATGTACAATGACAACTACCAAAAATCACCTCAGCGAGGTCTACGCTAAGCTTGTGTAAGCTCTCCCGCAGTTGTCGTCGACCCACATTTCTTCTTTGGGGAATGGAAAACTCTGGGACTTGGAACTACCGTGGAGAGCTCATATCTAATACAACGCAGTGACTTAATTATGCACGCTCGTAGGGAGGGATCTTTTCAATGGTATCTAACCTAGATGCTTAGTTCGGCGGAAGACTATCTTTTGAACTCAAACATTTTAGTTACAAACCGTCTGAGCACCGGTAGTTCAAAATAAGTTAAAGGCTACAAGCCACTTGGAAGGATTAGTGGTGATTTCTCTCAGGTTTTTTGTTCTGATGATCAATCGGCCGATCGATACTCTGCATTTCTGTGCTCTGTGGATCATTTACTGTTAGCGTTTCTTTGTAGGATGAACCTGCTCTTTTTTCATTTCATACTATCCGTCAATAAACATATGTGTTAGTTGCTAGAGCTCGGTTTCCGATATGTTTGTGGGTTCCATATAGCTTTACTTTGCATGACTTCACTGCTGTTCTTTTCAATTTTGTCCTTTAGTCCGGAGGGGCAGCCGACCAAAACTGGCTGTACAAACTGATCGCCGTAGTTGTGCACTCAGGTTCTGGGCCAAATCGTGGACATTACGTCACCTTGGTGAAATCACACGGCCTTTGGCTGCTCTTTGACGACGAAGTAGTCGACGTAAGCGTTCTTTTCCTCTGCTTGTAGTTTACTATCGCTGTTTTTCATACTCATGGACTCCTTTCTCGGTTTACATGTATCAGATCTTGGACCAGGCTGATTCTGACTTCTTTCATTGCTTTAATCTGCAAACAGTCAACGACCTTCACTAACCTCGGTTTTATTCGACTTCCAGTCACTTGATAGTGTCTCGATAGATTCACTACGCAGTCGATGATCATATTGCGGCTGTAACCTTGACAGTTAATGCACGAGGCCCTCGTATGTATGTGCGTGCTTTGTTCTCGGGAGCGAATGGCGATCAATCGCTGCAAACCTTTTGCCAGCATTGCCAGCGAATCCGCGTTTGGTGAAACACCATTGTCAGCTCCTCTCTATCCGCAGGAGTTTATCAAGGCACACGAAATCAGCAAGCAGCACGGAAACTGCCATCTGCCAAATTACTAACACTGAAGTCAACATCGTTCTGAGAAATGAACGGACTGGTCCTATGTTAGGACTTTTAAAGTGGCGGTAGAGTGTAATTCTGACAAACAAATTGTACCAAAGACAACCCCACCTGTGTGCACAGTTCCGAGTCAAACAGTTGATTCCATCTTCAAATATGATTACGAAAGAAAGGCTGATGTGAGAATGGAGTTGTGACTGGATGACGAGGACGAACAGCAGTCGCGTACAAGTGAGTAGATTCGCAGGACTTGTATCCACATGACTAGAGTTCAGACCCCAGGACGGCCAATTATATAGATTGTTGGTGAGCTGTAAAAGGGCGGGCCCGGTATTTGTGTGAATTAGTCGGAATAATCGCGCCGAGGCAGGAGAATGCGAACAGCGATTGCCCAAAAGACTTGTTTTAATACCTTAACTCATACATCAGTGAACTAAGAAGATAGGGATCTATAGAAAAATCCCTAGGGTGTTACTGTGCCTCGGCTAAACTGGAGCTCTTTCTCTCCCTACTCGGAGACTATGTTTCGAGATCTATGCAGCATCAAACTGCATGTTTAGTAGATACCTCTTCCAGGCTTCTATCCAGGCTATGGGAGCCGTGTGTAGTTCATCAATTCAGGCGATTGAGTTGAAATCGTAAACAGCCGCAAGGAAACCTAGTGCACTAAAGAGCTTGTTGGTAGAAAACACTGAACGGTATTGTAACATTTCTGCTTGTAGCTTTACAGCAGGGGTGACTTGAGCTGCATCCTTTTCCTGTGGTATTCCCATCACTCCCTCTTCGGTTCAGTCGGTGTGTCTTCAGTGTGTCGAGTTAATCGGAGTTTACTGAGCTCGAGATAGCCCAGTGGTTAAGGCACGAAATTGCTGGCCGGAAGATCCGTTGTTCGGACCCAACCCCTCTATCTCGACTGTTCCTGCCTCTTCCTTTGGGTGGCATGGCAGGTAGGCACCGGAAGGGTGTCACAGCTGAACGATATAATACTGGGGCTACATCTTTGTAATTACGCTCTCAGTTGATGAGCTATAAAGTACGTACTAAGATACTATAGCTCTGTTCACTCCCTCCACCTTTTTCCCTACTGACAACAGAATAACAATTTCGGGACAACCACATGTGAAATTGCTAGCTTACATCAGTTCAATGTAGGCGCAACAATCAAACATTGTGTTGTTTTCAGTGGTGGAGCTCATTAAAATCTATCTGTGAAAACCGTCGCCACGTGGTTCATTAACTGCACTGACCGGTGGCTGAATAGGCACTAGTCGTCAAACGCCGAGAACCATCAAATTCTGCTCAAGTTTGCTTAGCTACCCGCATCTTGGTTCTCGTTGAACCAAGACATTAGCGAAGAGATTTGACAAGCGCTTCCTTTTTAATCTGAACTCTTTGCGTATGTTGTTTGGCATTCACCCATCCAGCCAACCCGCATCGATGTCGTGTACTGATACTCGCTTTTTAAAGGCGGCTGACGGTTGTAGTCGTGGACGAAATTTCAGCAACACCGAATCTGATTTTGACACGTGCAATCGGTTTTTGTTAACGCACCAGAACGACTAATAACTCCAGTACCCGTGGTCTGTTCAGGCCACATATCCACGGTTTTTAGACAAAGAGGCCTCCACCTCTTGTTATAGATCATTTTTTAGGGAATTAAGAGTTCGAAAACCGTTGAGATTCAAAGCTTATGTGGAGAGAGTACAGTGCAACCCCGAAATCGTTGTTATGATACGACTGCTCAAAAATCGACTACCGGTTTCGCCTCATTCGGGGTCCATCAAGTAGGCATAATCTGCGGAATCAGTCGCTGATTTTTGGTCGGGTCTTTACTGTGATGTCTTTACTGTCTTTACTGTTATGAAATCGCTGAAACTGGAGCAGCCTTAGTGAAGCATAACCCATTTATAGAACGGAATTTGTATAGTTTTTGTATCCTAATCAGGCTTCCATGATCCGGTTGGAAAACATCTCCGATGTTGGTACTGCGTGTGTTCCACCAGAGGGGAGCTTCAATTGCGCTTCACAACTGATACTGCACTGCAGCTGCGAACCCGCTTGCTAAGTTACCAAATGGTGTAAAAGAGTTAGACTTGTTGTTTAAAAAACATTGTATGAAACGTTGCGCACAAACTCCTCGCTGCAAACTTGATTAGACTTTCCGTGTAACCAGATTCACGAATCTCTTTCACACAAATGATAGATTCACAGCTTTGTCGCACTCCCTCTTTGGTAGACTGAGGTGTTCCGCTTCTGTAGCTTGTCAGCGACATCAGTATACGTGAAAGAACGAGTGACTGCATACTCATTATCACACTAGTCCTGTATCGCATCTTCGGTCTATTCCTTTTCACCAGTTTATTGTTTCTCATGGAACCCAAGTTAACAGAGAACAGTTCGTTTCGCCTCAACTCCCATTTAAAAATTGCTCCTCTGCCTGCACGACTTTTTGTCCTTGTATGTACATAGTCATGTGTAATACCCCGATAGCACTCACCAATCACAATCAGGTGATATTGCTTGTACCTCACTACACTGTCCGTATTTTCCCCTTTTATCTGATTGCTCCTTCAGTTAAGCTCAAGCATCTTTGTGACTCACAAAATCGGCATTGATGTAATCGCTTCTGACCCCCCCCCCCACGCAAGCAACAGCAGTGTTTACTGTAAAACCCAACTGAAGGAAGTCTTCAGTCTTTTCAACATATACCGGAATCATCATCACCATTAAACTCAGAAACATTAGTGTTGACACTGATGCTTCACTGCTGTACATCCATAAGGCTTGTCTCATCATCGTCAGCTGTAAGAACCGCGTACTTATCGTATAGTGGTTGTACCTGCCACAGTTTCGTTCACCGATGATTTGGGGAGGTGGGGTAGGTAGCTGCGCATTGGAGGCGGGAGCTGATAGGTTTGCGCGTACATACAGCATTGTCAGTGGACTGATAAGTGGGGGGATTGGGAACGGAGCTATGCATTGAAGGCAATAGCTTGGATGCACGAGCGCAACTGGGCCATGTCTGATGTGGCCCGTCCGGGGTCCTCATCCACGAAGACGGCGGTGACCAGCGCAGCTGAGTTTGCTGGTAATGGCTTTTGTACTTCGCTGCCAAGTCATTATTTGACCGCCTCTGGCTCGTTTCCACCCTTCACGCGGTTGTGCGAAATGGACCCTTCGAGGAAGTCGGTCGACTGGCATACGGAGCACGTCACCAAGTCAGCGCAACCTATGCAGTGTGATCAGTTCATCTATCGAGGGCGAGTTATTTCTTCCGAATACCATTCGACTTACTTCGACATTGCCGCAGAGTGAAAAGAGAAAAGAGTGAGTGAGAGAGGGGACCTATTGCTGGCCTACGTCAAGCGTTCTGAAGTGCCCACACCTCCAAGAGTTCAATCAGATAATCTGGAAAGAAACTGACAGCACGAACGCCACTGACATCGATTAGCCGCCATTTCTTGCAATTTCCCCAGCCAAGCACAGGTGAGGTCACGTGGACCCCATCCTGGAAGGCGTACAACACTAACAGATCATTCATGAAACGATATGCTTCTCTTTTATGCCGCCTTATAACTTCCTGTTCATTTGTAAATACGCCATGCACAGACGTTTACTCCTGTACATTTTCATTTCCTCCGAACTCTAGCCAACGCTAATCGTCTACATAAATATGAAGTGTGCCAAAATGTTGAAAGTTAGGCTGCGTGTATTTGTTGTTGTGAGCCAGTTATTGATCTCCCCGTCGAGCTTGGTAGTTGGCTTCCTCACAACAAGCTGTGAGCAACTGTTCAACTTGAGTCCTTTGAGAAACAATGATGTGGAGCGGGAACGCTGAGTAAGGACGTGATGTGGGGCTAGTTCGGTAGATGTATACAGCTATGAACAAGTCATCAATGAATTGTGTGACTAACCATCACTGATTGCCGTCCTTTTGCTCGGTGGCTACCAACCACAGCACCCGCTGTGGAAATTGCGCGAATCCGTTTGGATTTATGGTTGATAGCATGGTCATCCATTCACCCCGAGTTACGCGGGCCGTGCTGCGTCTGAGCGGCTTATCTGACTTACATCTTTCACAAGGTTGGAAACACCATAAGCTACGAAGTCATGGAATACCAGTATGTTACCCAAGACGCGCCAGCGGTTGCAATGCTGGTGGTTGTTTTCGACTACTGGGTCCAAGGTAAATGAGACCACTCGGTGCAGTGTTCTTTGCAAACCGACCGAAAATCGCCATATTCGTGGAAGCATTTATTTTTGGAGTGCAAAGCTTTAGGTCTTATGATAAGAGAAAATTTTCCGCACCCTTATGGTGGACACCAAGTGCAATGAGAGGAGTGTTTAGGAGTTGCTTTACTGCATGACTGACGATAAAGGTTTGCATCGTTACCACGAAGAACGAATTTAAGAGTGGAGTTTTAGCCCATTTCCATGCTTTCTAGTTCGCTTCATTCTTGACGCCCATGTACAATTTAGCCTGCTGTGAAAGTGTTTTCGCTGTACCAACCGTTCACTAAACCCTAATGACATTATTGAATACCGATTATAGACACACTCTTCAGTCATATCCTACCCCGTTCCTCAAACCCATAAGTTGCCGGTCGTCAGACCAAATTGTTTTTTTCACCATTACTTTACCCACCGAAGTTTCTCTTTCCGGTAAGAGTAGCTGGCTGAGAGGGCAACAGTGTCCTTACTCTAAGTAACCACAAGTTCTTGTTCATATTGCGCCTGCTCTTCGGCTTCCCGTTGATTCGTCTTCTCATTGTCTTGCTACCTGTAACAACCTGTTTTTTTTCGGTGGAATGAGTGCTCCCCGTTACACGTTTTTCTGCTGACACCTCCACTGGGCAAGGATCTCTGTCAGTTCTGGAGCTTTTACCTGTCGGATGATCCTTCAGGTTCTGACCGGAAGGTCCGTGGTTCGAGCCCGACCTCTGCCTCTCGACTTTCCTATCTAGGCTTGGGCAAACTGGCAGTTTCCCAGCCCTCGTGCTTCCTTCGGTTTGCATGGCAGCTAGGCACCGAAAGGGTGTTACAGTTGAACGATCATCTTTTGACTACCCTAATTGAAAACGATTGAACGCACTTTAGCGATTAGGTGAATGAATCTATCGGTATCCACACGAGGTTGACGGTTAAACTGTTTGAGACTACCCGTTTTCAAACATTCCTCATAAGAAAATGTGCGCAGACCCCCCAAGGAGAAGTTCTATATGGTGATGACCCCTGAGCTTCATACCTGGTCCGCTTAAATGTAGAATAGGTCAAAGTCCTTGTGTGATTGAGTCCGAATATCTTGCAAGTTGCCTTCAGTCTCAATTCCGCTGTGATATCCGTTATTTTTCTACTGTGTTTCGGAGTCTAGTGTTGGGTACCGTCTCAAGGACCAATATCAGGAAGAAGAAAATGAAGCTGAATTTGAATAACGGAAGACCATGATGAAGGGAAATGACCTAAGCTTTTTCTAGTATTGAGGTGGTGAGACAGTAGCACTTCAGCGGTACAATCCAAATGTGGTAAAAGTGTCATCTTTCAGCGGGATGCGGAAACGGTTCAACTAGTACTGGGTGCGGGGAGAAGAAAGGGATTTAGTTCTTCTTATTGATTGATGAAAAACATGTATACATTATTCAAATACATCAGCGGACCAGGCAGTGTTCAAACACTGGTCGTAGGAACGAAGGTCCATGGGCATTATCCGGATGACACGCAAAATCGTGAGGCGTTCCATATTTTTTGGTGGGGGGGGGGTCAGATAGCTCAGTGGTTAGAGAGCGAACATCCTTGTCTCTACGTTGCGCACTCCGAAACCCTTAACAGTCCCGTTCTCTTTGTTTCGTCTGTTCTGTATGTGATTTTTGCACGTGGATTTCTTTTTGCCATCTGCTTTTCGTAATGGATAGTGGTGTCGTCGCGAAGAACGACTTACATGTTATGCTATGGATAATATCTCTAGTTTTGCGCTTGTTTTGTTGTCATCTTTTTCGCCAACTTGCTTTTAGTCCCACCTGTTTTTGCCTGACTATCGATGATGTTATTTCACCGTTCCCTTTGTTTTTTTGCAGAAAATCTGTCCGGTCAACTTGGAGGATTTCTTCGGTCAGTCCAAGTCCTCTTACACAGCCTACATTCTCTTCTACCAGGCTTCAAACTTTTCTTCGCCAGCCCTTACACCCACTGGATCCTAGCATCGTTCATTTGGACTCGTTTATCATTGTCCACCAGTGGACATACACACCGGTCTCACTTTCCCTCTCAACAAACCATGTACACTTGTTAGCTTATTTTCCTTAAAGATTCATATCCCCCCACCGTGTCCCTCCTTATCAGAACACCACTTTTAGGATCACGTACTCGGTACGACGTTCTCCTGGACACCATACCTATTGACAAAGAACCGGCTTCCTTCTTCCTCCTGTGTTGTATGGGTACATCAAACAAAGAGCCCCATGCGACCCTCTAATCCCATTGTAATGATCCCAACTTTATCATCTATGTATCTTCTGTTATTTGTTTCTTTCGTTCGGTTCTACTAAACTCCAAGACTTCTTTTAATTTCCACTCAAATTACCGTTCCATTCTTCTATGCTTGGACTATCTCGTCCGCTCAACTAGACCTCTTCATTCATCCTACCTCTATAGGATCTGTTGGACACATTTCATCTGTATTGATTTCTTTTTTCTCGCCACCGATTGTGTACATAATGTGGTGTAACGTGCCTCCTCTGACAATGATACCTATTAATCCATTGTTTCGACGTAGACATTGAGATAAAAGTGTTTTCTGTGATCAACCAGCCCATTGCTTTTCTAATGGGAATCCATAGTCTGTCATGGAATTCAAATATCCTTAAACAAAACAAAAAGATGGTTATATACCTATTCCTACAATTCGATGGAGGTTGATTGGCATTAGGCGAAAGTTGAATTCGGCCTTCAGAAGGTCTACAGCACAGTACAACTGAGACGAGACATACAGTTCGGAGAAATATCATCCAGAAGTGCATCCATAGTTCGTCGCAATTTACCAGTTTTCTTAGAGTTGCGGAGACTCGTCGGCAGAACCGGTCGGTGTTTATCGGAACGCACAGCATGGCACGTACTGCGTTGAGTATTAACGCAACCAAAGTGTCGAAGGTCAAACCGCGACTTCATTTAGTCTGTTATCAAGCGCTTGCTGCAAACCTTCGCTCCGAATGTTTTTAAGAAACTGGAATTCACGTTCTATCGATCAGTGACGCTCTGTTAGACAAAGTTCACAATCCAGCATTCTGTGCACAAAAGGTTATGAAGCAACACCTTTGGTTGCTATGGTTCTGTTCACATGATACGAGCTCTAACGTGTCATTGTCCGTTCCACTGTGGTACTAACCCCGCTTTCTCACGGCTGAAAGGAATGCAAACATACAAGGACCGCATGATTCCCACTGCGCCTGGTTAGAAACAATGCAAAATATGGCTGCCAGCCGATGTCACTGGCGTTCTTGTTGTCAGTTTCTATCCAGGTCGCCTGAATGAGTTGTCTGGAGGTGCAGGCACCGCAGATTGATTGTAGTAAACTAGCACCGAGTCCCTTCCCCACCCAGATTTATTCTTTTCTTCACAATAAGACTCAGATAAATGGTTGTACGGCAGTGGAATATCGTTGTCGAACACTGATGCTATCTAGCTGGGACGATTCCGGCCAGATGAAGCACTTTGATCTCTGGCAATCAATCCCAGCAGTTAAACGCGTCATCTCGGTTATGACTCTGGGAACTCCCCGACTTTGTTGATGGAGTCAATTTTGGCGAGATTACCTCCTAAAACGTATACAGACGACGCCAATCAGATAACCAAGACAACTGAAAACTTGGGCCAACGTGAAACCTAAAAGGCATCTAGCCCCTCGACGTAGAGAATAGAGTTCACCCAATTAGCTTAGCATTTGTGCTTCGAACCTACATTTTCAGTGTTCAGTTACCAAGTGTTCACGAGTCATAAGGCTCATTGTATACGAGTTGTTACTTCACTCGGATTGTGGCACTTGATAGATTTGCTCCCCTTCCCCAATTAAGAGCGAACTCTACGTTAAGACTTTTGTCACTGACGAAGTATCCCTTACGATATGATGTATGAAAAAACGGTCTTAAATCTGTTGGAAACCTGATTATGGGCCAAGAAGCACCCGTCTTCTAGATGAACTGGTTTTCATTAAATACGTCCGCCATTGGGGAGTCGATTTTACTAGCCCTTCGCTTGTGCTTCGGTTCTGGTACAACAGCTTTATCTGACCCGGGAATGCTTGCGTCCACTCGGTCACCTGACTTAAACAAGCGTCAAGGCCTTGAGGTGGACTTCACGCGAGGCAATTTTCACCTCATATAATCATTAACTGATGTTTGATCACAAAATCAGTACCGATAGTCTTTTTTAATTTTCAAAACCGTATCTCGTGGAATTCGAACAATGTAACTTGGTGGCTTGGCAAATCAAAACGAGTTCAAAGGCCCGATAGGGTAGAGCTGTGCATTACAACTATTAAGCGCTCCTTCCCCTCATGCTCCAAGTGATCGTACATTCTGTCTGGAAATTCCTTACGTAATGCAACACGCAGTCAAGGTTAATCGCCAATCGCTTTCATATAAATGTCCATCTGTTATATGTTAATTTTTTTAAAAACTGCAAATCAACTTTTGGCATACGCGCGTCATTGGGGTCAAGTCCAAATGAAAATCGGACATAAAAAAGGCATTGTGATGTTTACTTGTCACATTTTATCCAATCAGTTATGATAACAACCTATGATGTGACCAAAGGGCAGCACTCGTCCCAGACTAATTGTGTCGCTTTCAAACAGAACAAGAGACCATCGCGTGTTTCGGTGGCATGACTTGAGTAACTCATCCATCGTGGGGGAGTCATTTCTTCCTAAAACCATCTGACATACCTCAGCATTGTCAATTCGTTGTTCCAACTAGACCTGTTCGAGCCTATTCGAGCAGCGGAACTGAGACGTCTTCAAGTGTTCGACAATCGTTGTCTCAGAACCATAGCTTGTGTGAATTGGTGTCGGCGAATCCGTAATGAGGTAGTTAGAAAGCGCATTTTCGGTTGTGTAACGGGTACTTCCATTGAAGAATGTGTCCAGCACCAGAAGCTGCGTTGGTTGGGACATGTGTAATGTATACCGAACCATCGTTTGCCGAAGAGAGTGCTATTTTCCATGCCAAACTCAGAGTGGCGTAAACAGAGAGGTGGTCATCCCTTGACTTGGCGGAGGAGTATGAAGGAGATCACGAAACGCTTGGGTGCTGTCGGTGCTACTCGCCTTCCAGGATGGGAACCACGTGATCCTCACTGTGCCTGGTTGGAGACACTACAAGATATGGCTGCCAACCGATGTCAGTGGCGTTCTTGTTGGCAGTTTCTATCCAGATTGCCTGAGTGAATGTCTGGAGGTGTAGGCACCTCGGAATGATTGCGTTAAGCTAGCACTAAGTCCCTCCGCCGTCCACCTTTACTCTTTTCTTTACAATAAGGCTTTCAAATAAGTCATGGTTGTACGGCAGTGAAGCATCGGTGTTGAACACTGATGTCATGCTGTCGATGATGATGATGATGATGATCCAACCAGACCTGGACAATGCGTCTGAGACACCGATGGTCAAACACTGACAGCTTTCGTACGTCCTATGCACGTAGAGGCCGGGTTTCTGATCCACAAAGCACGGTGGTAGTGTATAGTCTGTCCCTGACAGATAAACTAACCTCATGTCGGTGCCATAGTTGTCCGAGATTGGTCAAAGTTGCTTTGGCCTTCCCGACTAGCGAAGTAATCTCGTCTCCAGCAAGTCCACCTAAACGTATACAGCTGCCCAGGCAAACCAATTTATTCAACAGGTCGATAGCTAGTTTTCAGGCATGAGGTTTGGATTTGATCCCACCCAGTCTTGTAGCAGCAGTTTTCACTTCGCAGGTTTTAAGCGCATGTCGAAGCTTGCGGCTTGCATCTTTGAAGAATCCGAACCATGTAGAACAATATCGTCTACGTGCTGAACGTCCCCGAGGTTTTAGAAGCAGGGAGAGAAATTTCAAGCGCAACATCAGTGACAAAGTTAAAAAGGAACGGCAAGAGAGGACAGTCTTGACTTACACCACCGGATGGGGTGAACTCAGGCGAAAGTTTGTAATATAGCCGTGCGCGCCCGCAGGAGATCGCACATAGTTTTCTCACAGGATATAAATTTAGAAGTGGACCCTTTGATCGCTAAGCACTGTCAAAACTTATGACAGAATAGATACAAGTTTCGGACCAACTTGCTGCCTGGTGCTATTCGAGAACTTGTTTCAAGGCAAAGATATGGTCCCTTCACCCTCGGCCAGGGCGAAACCCAGGTAGATTCTCAGTAATCTTCTAAAATCGATCAAACTGCACAAAATAATACAAAAGAACACCTGGGATGCCTCGGACACCAGGCTAATGCCATGATATTTTTTTCGTACGACTTTTCTGTGCCATTTCCGAAGGCTGAGTTCACAGTCGACGTGCTCCATTTCACTGTTTTCGTCCCAAATCTTCTGCAGTATGCTCGTCAGAGTGTCCACCAGAACCTCACCAACATCTTTGGAAAGTGTGTGGTACAGGTCACCGGGGTGGGGTGGAGGAACGACATCTCCCGGTGAACTTCTTTTGGCTACTGTCAGTGTTCGATTCGACACTAAGAGACAGATGGACCCAAGTTCTTCGTTACGGATTATGCCGCATATCTCTGACAAACCGTATGGTTTGTTTTCCTGCAGGTAGTACGTCCTCAAAATGGGGCTGGTGAATACCGAATTACCGAATGACAGCTGAATTAAGGATAGTGTTTAACCACTTCATTCAGTTCCTTGTGACTTTCCACCAAATTAGCCTCATCGCCTGCCACATACAGGGATATCTGTTCGGGTTTTTAAACCAGAGGTATAAGTTTGGATGATGTCTCAGACTCTCAAGTCACCTGGTTGATCTCGTTAACATTGCGTCCATCCCTCCTCTTACACTGTTCAAATTTTCACTGCTGGAAACTCACAGTAGAGGACCAGTGAACAACGGACTCCACACTTGTGATATGCTGGGTACCTGGTTGGCTTTCCAGCAAAAACATTGTGGATAAAGACGGGGAGATCCCGAGTTTTTTCGCAAGTGGTCAAGGGAAGTCTAAAAATCAATCTGCACGACTAATGCTTTTGACTTTTGTCCTACCTCATGTATCTACAGCCGCTTGGTTTCTGATTGCCTGGGAACCAGTACAATGTCTTGGGAAAACAGGCGAACGCACTAAGAACACCTTTGACCAAGCCATTTTCTCCAGGCGTGCGTTGTCGGTCACCTACGCCGAGGCTTAATTACTCGGCCACGGGTTGGGAGAACTCAATTCTGCCAAAAGTAATCTTTCAAACAGATCAGTTTGTCAAACATACCAGATTTCGCATGTGTCGACCCGTCAGATCGTCGTGAATTTCGTCCCCAGATGTGCTGTTCCTTGAAGAGTAACGGGTTCCCATGTGTAGCATTATCTCCCTGGACCGTACAATAAGATTCCTACAGAAGCAAGGTATCAGGAAGGTCAGCGTCCTGAAAGCAATCACTGATTGCCCGAAATCTACCGGGAATCGCAGCTCCGCTAGATGCTGACCAGACAGACAACGCCCTCTCAATATGTAGCGCGTCACAGCCTTGTATCAAACCCAGAGAACGCGAGTCAGCGTTGATCAAGGTTGGACAACGCCCCCGCCATATGCAGCACGTCACAGCCTCGTACCAAAGCCAGACCTTGTGCGTCAGACCGTGTGTGTCAGACAGTGTCCTTCCAATAAATAGCTTGAGACCACTGTACTTATCGCAATGGCACGCACTCACGCTCTCGCGTTCGCTTGTTCGGAATACAGCTGTTGTGTTCCCTTCTGTGAGTCTTTTCTCCGGCACTAGGCGCTGGAGCGGGTCAGCAGCAGATACCACAGATTGACGAATCAGAAGATATGACACATGGTCTCTGAGATTACTACCTATAGCTGTCCGCTAATAAATGTAGCTTTTCTTACGCTCATCGTTACAAGGTTAACATAAACACAGCGAATACTATAAGC